TTATGACAGTGTCATGTCAGTCTTATTCACCCCCCTTCAAATAAAGTGTTACCGATTAATCCAAACCAGAAAATTATCGGCCGATAGCGTTAACATCCAACTTATGTAAGATAATGGAGAGAATGATAAATTAAAGATTAATATATTATATGGAAAAGAAGGGACTTATACCATCTTATCAGAGTGGTTTCAGGAGAGGGAGAAGTACAATGGATCCAGTTTTATGTTTAGAGCATGAAATTAGGAAGGCTCAAGTGAATAAAGAGAGTGTTGTGGCAATATTTTTTGATATTGAGCGAGCATATGATATGATGTGGAGGGAGGGATTATTAATTAAAATTAGAAGAATGAGTATAAATGGTTATATGTGTAGATGGATCAAAATTTTTTTAGAGGGAAGAAAAATACAAGTGAGGATAGGGAAGGCATATTAAGAAAATAATAGATAAATGTAGGAAAGTATTAAATATAATGAGGTGTTTAGTTGGAACAGAGTGGGGAGCTGATAGAAAATCATTAAAAGCAATTTACACTGGGTTAATTAGGTCAGTCCTGGATTATGGATGTATAGTTTATAATTCAGCAGCAGAATCAAACCTCCATAAGTTAAATATTATTCAACATCAGGCTTTAAGACTATGTACCGGTGCTTTTAAAACATCTTCAACAGCAGCATTACAGGTTGAAATGGGAGAAATGCCTCTTAAACTTAGAAGGGATCAGTTATCCTTAAATTATTGGTCAAATTTACAGGGACAAAGAATTGATCATCCAACATTAGAGGTGCTTAAACATGGCTGGGAAAAGGAAAAGAAACAAAGAGCTTTGGATGGATAATAAACTCTAAAGTTAATGAAATTAATTTAAATCAGTTAGATATATGTCAGGCAGTTCCATTACCTGCAGTTCCACCTTGGATATTTCCTGACGTTGAGATTGACTTTTCTTTTTTAGAAAAGAACAACAAAGATAAATTTCACATTATGAATAGATATATGATACAAGAATACTTAAATGGATATTATAACTATATACAAATCTACACAGATGCATCAAAAAATACAGCTAATAAGGTAGGGATAGCATTTATTGTGCCACAGCTTCAAATTAAAGTAGGAAAAAGGATCAGTGATGGAGTCTCAGTGTATACAGGAGAAATGCTTGCTTTGCTTTTAGCAGTTCAGTGGGTGGAAGAGGTAAGACCATTAAAATCAATTATTTGCTCAGATTCTAGTTCTTCGTTATTCAGTTTGCAAAATAATAAATCAGATAGTAGACCAGATATATTAATTGAAATACNGCTGATCTTGGCGGTTGGCATAAACTGGTTTGTGACTGGACTGCTATGGCGACTCAAGTTGAGGATGAGGGAGACGATGAAATGGATTTTGGTGACTGGACTCCAGTACGTGGTAGTAGAGGATCAGGAAGAGAACGAAGTAGAAAGGAAGAAAGGTTGGTGGAGACACAAAGTAGTAGCAAACGGAGTCTAGAAGAAAATAGTTCAGATGAAAATAATGCAGGTTGCAAGAGGATTGTTGGGCAGGAAACTAAGTTGATCATAAAGTTTAGGAAGGAGGATGAAGGGATACAACTTAGTCCGTTAGCTCTGTCAAGAGAATTAAAAAAGAAGTTTGGAGATCTGACACTTGCTAAGACTCTTAGAGATGGGAATCTGTTGATCACAGTGAGGAATGAAGAACAGAAAAACAAGGTGATGAACGCCCACAGTATTTGTAAAAAACTGATTACTGAGGTAAAGATTTTGGGAGAGGATAAAGTGGTAAGAGGAGTGATCACAGGTATCCCAGTTGGTGAAGATCTAGAAAAACTCAGACACAGTATTAATGGAGGTGAAGTAAGTAAAATCAAAAGATTGATGAGAACAGTTGAAGGTGAAAGGGTGGAAAGTCTCTCAGTAATGTTGGAGTTTCAAACACAAGTTCTTCCTGAAAGGGTAAGAGTCGGGTGTATGTGCTTCCCTGTAAGGCCATATATCCCTCCTCCTCTCAGGTGTTATAAATGTCAGAGATATGGACACATTGCAACTGCATGTAGGGGAAAACAAAGATGTCCAAAGTGTGGAGGAGAGCATAATTATGATGAATGTAAAAATGGGAAGGATAAGTGTTGTAATTTTGGAGGGCAACATAGGGTGACTTATGGAGGATGTGAAGTCAGAAGGAAAGCAATGGAAATCGAACAAGTCAAAGCTACTAATAATATAAGTTATGCTGAAGCTGTTAAAAGAGTGAAACCTAAGGAAGTTATAAGGAAAGTTCAACAAAACCCAACAACAGAACAGAGACCGAGTGGAACTGAAACTGGGTTAACAGTTGAAAAAATTCTATTGTTCATTGCATATGTAATTAATTGTACAGATCAAGTTAAGCACAAAACAGAAAAAATCAAAATAATTGTGAAAGGGGCAGAGAGGTTTTTTGGTATTAAGGACATATCTTGGGAACACATAAATACGAGGTTAGGGGCAGAAGGAAAGGTCGGAGGACAGGAAGATAAAAACTGATCATCCTACAATGGAACGCTAGAAGCCTTATTGCAAATGGACAGGAATTTAAAGGATTTATTAGAGAGTATAAAGATGATTTAGATATTATATGTATTCAAGAAACATGGCTTAAACCAAATCTTGATTTTGTTATAAAAGGATATGAAAGCATTAGAAGAGACAGAGAGGGAGGATCTGGAGGAGGGTGTATAACATTTATTAAACAAGGAATTCAGTTTAGATTATTAGCTAAAGGAAGAGAGTTAGAATATATCATTACTGAAATTTGGACAGTAGATGGACGATTTAAAATAATCAACTTTTATAATCCATGTAAAAGACTATCATTAGATTTAATGGAGGAAATTGGGGTATATTTAGAGGGTAAAGTTATTTGGTGTGGGGACTTTAATGGGCATAGCTCTTTGTGGAGTCATCATAATGATCAAAATGGG